TCTCCCCTCGGGAGCTCGACCAAGAGACCAGGAGTTTGATCGCTCGCTATGACATACATTGGCCACCAGGGGGGAGTGTGCAGAACAAATGATGGCCCCGGGCCTCAGCCAGCATCCAGGGAAGGGAGGCCCCCACCAGCAGCTGGCAGGTGGGGAAGGAACGTGTGATGACCACCAGGGAAGGAAGGCCCCAGCCAGCAGCCAGAAGGCCCCAATTGGCCCTGATCACAGACAAGGCACAGGGACCCTACCCATGCACGAATTTCGTGCCCCAGGCCTCTAGTTGATCAATAATTGAGTTTATCTTTTTGTATTACTTATTTACAAAAAAAAAAAATGTAGGAGTTGAGCAAAGCCTACAATAATTAACTTTACATAACTTGATTTAAAGTAATCAAAAGTGTTCCTTCTGTGTCAAGAAATTAGCATGAAGTCAATAAGAGGAAAGTGACTAAAAAATGTGTTAAAATGCTCCTTATAAAACATTGTCTCACATAAATGTTCCCCTCAAAGAAATCATGAGTCTTTTGGAAGACTATTATAAACTAAATGCTCTTTCACACTGCTTATAAATATCATCAACGATACATACAATCTTCAAAAATTATAATTATTATTCTTACAAACATTAATTTCTTCAAATAATTGAAGAGATATCTTTCAATCAGGTACACTTTATTTCTTATGCATTTTAATTATATTGAATAATGAATATATTTGTCATGTCTTATTTAAATTTAATTTTATGAGCTACTAATTCTGTGAAATTACAACTTAAGAAAAACAGATATTTATTTAATTCTCCCCATGCTACCAGATACTAATAAAGAAAAAAATTCGGGAAACTGGACAGATACATGCAAAAAAATGAAACTAGACCACCAACTTACACCATACATAAAAATAAACTCAAAATGGATAAAGGACTTAAACATAAGACAGGAAACCATAAAAATACTAGAGGAATCCACAGGCAGCAAAATCTCAGACATACGCTGAAGCAATTTCTTCACTGATACTGCTCCTAGGGCAATGGAAACTAAAGAGAAAATAAACAAATGGGACTATATCAAAATAAAAAGCTTTTGCACAGCAAAGGAAACCATCAACAAAACAAGAAAGCTCACTGCATAGGAGAACATATTTGCAAATGTTTTCACGAATAAGGGTTTAATCTCCAACATTTATAGGGAACTCATACAACTTAACAAAAGGAAGATAACCAACCCAATCAAAAAATGGGCAACGGACCTAAATGGATATTTTTCGAAAGAAGACAGAAGGCCAAAAGACATATGAAAACATATTCAAAGTTAATAACCATCCAAAAGGTGCAAATCAAAACGACAATGAGGTACCATCTCACACCTGTCAGACTGGCTATCATCAACAAATCAACAAACGACAAGTGCTAGAGAGGATGTGGAGAAAAAGGGACCCCCACACACTGCTGGTGGGAATGCAGACTGGTGCAGCCATAATGGAGAACAGTATGGAGTTTCTTCCAAAAATTAAATATGGATCTGCCATTTGACCCAGTGATCCCACTTCTAAGAATATACCCTAAGAAAATAAACTGATGAACAAAAACAGATCCAGAGACAGAGAAGCATCGATCAGACTGTCAAACCTCAGAGGGTGGGGGTAAGAGGGAGAGATCAACCAAGCATATAAGCCTAACCAATGGACACAGACAACAGGGGTGTGAGGCCATGAGTGGGGGAGATAGGGGGTAATGTGGGGATAAGGACACATATGTAATAACTTAATATAATAAAAATAAAAAATTCACTTTTCATACCTTAAGGTAGCAGTGTGCATAGCAATAATGAAGCAGATTATCAGAAGGCTGAGTAAGGCTGCTGACCACCTGCACCAAACGTTCAGCATACATTGGCACAGAATGTTCCAGATTAATTTTATCCACCAATATCTGAATAGATGGTAAAGGCCGAAGAGGTTGGAAGTTTGTCGTATTCATGAAGTTACTTGAGTTCTGGAAAATAAGAGTGTTCACTTCGTATTTCAGAACAGTGACTGATGTGCAATGTCCTCTATATAAGCTTCAGACTAGCACATTTTGCAGTGATATCAAATCAATCTAGAAATGATGCCTATGGGACTCTTATCAAAACTAAAAATGATATTCAATAGTCTATTCCATGCTTCTATGTCTCTGAATCTATTTTGTTCATTAAGGCAGGGATGGGTGAGAAGAAATTAACCAAAGAACTTGTATGCATATATGCACAACCTATGGACACAGGCAATAGTGTGGTTAAGGCCTGGGATGGGAAAGGCCGCGAAGGGGACACACAAGGGGAGGTTAAAATAGGGTGGCGGTGAGGGGGAGGGGGGAATGGGGCATCTGTAATAATTGCAACAATAAAGACAAATTAAAAAAAATACAAAACCTTGTACATATTTTAAGTATGTCCCAGGTTTCAAAAAATATTTATCTATTGCAAAATTATCAATGCACTTCTTTTTTCTTTTTCTTTTCTTAATTGCTTAAAGTATTACAAAGGGTATTACATATGTGTCTTTTTTTTTCCCCTGCCCTTGACTATCCCCTGGCCTCAATGCACTTCTTAACTAAAGCTTTTTATTTTTTCAATCAACTGTAATAGTGCCACTATGTGCCTCAGTACATTTCCAAAGCATAATCATTCCAAAAAAATTTACTAGATATCCCAGAGCCAGGCATCTTTCATCTTCTTTCCTTCTATTCATATTTAGATAACTAAGGGACTAAGTGACTACTTCAGACAGTTTCAAAAATACTTTTAATAAGCAAGTTTGAAGAACAGAAAAATGTCTGATCCGTATCATATCTATTAATAATACACATACTAAAGGCTCATAAAGTCCTAAGAATCTCAAGATAGGCTTAGTATTTTCAGTGTTTCAAAGTACAGAACTTTTCTAAGCTTCAAAATAAATGCATGTAAGTTTTCAGGTGTTCAAAATATCAACTCTGATTGACAAACAATCCCTTCTTATCTTAGAACTTACGCTCTTATAATGCCATCCCTGCTGTTCTCAAAAAGGAACACTCTGACCTTATACCCTGAGAAATGTGAAAAAATGTGGTAAGAGCAGTTTCACTGTTTCGTTTTGTCTGTCTTTCACTGGGAAGCAGTACTAGCATTTAGAAGCCCCTAACGATGGTAAATGCTACTTAATACTCCTCTAGTTCAAAAAATCGATAGTGCAATTATTGAGAACCACTGTAACTAAAATTGGCTAAATTGAGTTTACAATCCTGAAATTTTAACTATTAATCATAATTTTTAAACAACCATCTATCAAGCAATTACTTTATTTTTAAGTGAGTTTATTTTGAATTACCAAGATATAACATACAGTAGAGCACACAAATCTTAAGTGTAGCGCTCAACAATTTTTCACAACTGACATTTCAAGTACCTTAGAAAGCTCTCTTTTGTTCCTTCTCAGGCAATATTGAACCCCATCCAGAGGTAACTAATATTCTCACTTCAATCATCATAGATTAGTTTGGCCTGTTTTTGACCTTCATATAAATAGAATCATAGAATATATACTCATGTCTGCCTGCTTTCATTCAACATAACACTGGTAAGAATTATCTGTTTTTCATTCCTTGAGTTGACACTTTTATCATTATGAAGAGGTTCTCTTTATTTATAATTCTTCTTGTCTTGGCTCTAAATTTGCTGATATTAAATTAGCCATACTATCTTTCCTTTAATTAGCATTTAAATAGTACTATCTTTGTCCACCCTTTTACTTCTAACTTGTGTCATAATTTTCAGTTCTAGAACTTCATTTGGTTCTTTTTTTTATGAACTGGAGTTTCTTTTGAACTTTATTCATCATAGTTACTTTAAAGTTCGTGCTTAATATTGACATATTTTAATTTTCTCCATTGAAATTTTCCTCAGGTTATCTCTTTACCTAGCAACACAATAACTAATTATGAGTAGCCAACTGAGAGCAAAATGAAACTACTGCATCATAGTCAATTCCATGCCATACTTCCAAAAGTTCTTATTTAAAGTTAGGATATTTTTTATTTCTATAATCATCATCAGTATATAGACATCAAAAGAAATATAAGCAAAAAATAATAACTTAAATATATCAGATACCTTATATGCATGTGGCAAACTCAGAAAGCAAGACATTGTATACTGACCTAAACAAATATTAAACATTTAATAAGTCCTCATCCTATATAATAAAGAGCTAATATGCTACTTAGACTGGATGGTAGAAAGACCTTCCGGAAGACCAATGGGCGGGGGGGCAGGGCCACAGGGTCATGAGGCAGCTGGGACTGAGAAGGCCTACTCTTGCACAAATTTCGTGCATTGGGCCTCTAGTTAACAATAACAGTAGTAATCACTGGGTTTCTAATATGCGCAAAATGGTTTACATGTATTATCTCATTGAATATTCAAAATCATTCTAGAAGTTAGGTACTAGAGAGGAACTGCTCTGTGCCAGCACCCTGACAGTTTTTCACAAATCCATGTAGGCCACACAGGCGAGGCTCAACTTTAGCAGAGCTAAGCCTTGGTAGAACATCCTGTGATAGCTCTCAGAACAAGAGATTAGTGGTTTTGTAAGGAGCTGCTAAAAGACCATTTCTCACTCATCTCATCTTGAGAGAGGCTACTATGAAACATTTTCTCATCAGCCTCATTCAGGTGAGATAAGGGACTTTCCACCTACCCATCGTAAGAGTATACCTGTAGGCTATATAACCGCTTAGCTGCAGTATAGAATTGAACCCTATGAACAGGGTACCCTACCAGTATGTTAGATGTCAGTTGGCCCTCTGGTTTTCAGGCTTATCCTCAAAAGGGAATGCAAGCTGACACCATTATGAGTTGCTTTTGCTGTCTCTGTAAGTAATAAACCATTTAATATCTGTACTTGTTGCTTCTTTCTGGCTGAATCTGTCAGCCCACTTGAAAAATACAGCTAAGATATGGTCTGACTTCTAGACTCATGCCCTCCAAGATTTCCTTATATAGCCTTAGCTTAAGGTTATTGTACTTAAATATATAAAAGTTACTCTCTAAGAAAAAGCAATCATAGTTACATTGATTCAACTTTATAATGGATAATTACATAAGCAAATATTCTTTTACTTAATCACCTTCCTCTTACAACATCACAGAGCCAACAAATATGGAGATATGGAAAAAACGAGTAGTAAACCACAAAATATACCTTTTCTCCCATAATGACAGGTAGCAAATGATCTAGCAAATTGAATTCAGCCATAAAAATTGTGCAGGTACATTTGAGGAGAGTAATACTTGTATGTCGAGTAGGAATATACTCCTCCAAAGATGCCACTTCTTCCAAACTCAGTATTGTTTCATTTTCATCTTTAATATCTAAAATGAAATAAAATTTAAATAAAAATTAATTTTTAAATAATTGATTTTCTTTTTTTTTTAATTTTACAGAGAAGAAGGAAGAGAGAGAGTTAGAAACATTGATGAGAGAGAAACATTGATCAGCTGCCTCCTGCACATCTCCCACCTGGGGATATGCCCGCAACCAAGGTACATGCCCCTGACCGGAATCAAACCTGGGACCCTTGAGTCCGCAGGCCGACGCTCTATCCACTGAGCCAAACCGGTTTTGGCTGATTTTCTTAAATTACTGAAAAATTCATTGGCTTCCCGAACTTTAAGGTCAAATTCTATTTTTCAACAATAAAGCAGTTGTTAAATAATGTTTCTTTAAATCAATATGAATTAAATTACTCTAGAATATAAATGTATTTGCTACATAAAATTTTATATTTTTATTTTTAAATGTTTTTAATATTTTAAAGAAATTCCCAATCTCTTTTGTGAAAGGAATAACAGCTTCTATTCATGAAAACACCATTAAGATAATGTAAAAGCCAGCCAGACAGGGAGAAAATATATCCCATAGATAGACAGATAGATAGACAGACATAAATATCTACATAAAGGACTTGTGCCTACAGCATATTCAAAATAAAAAAAAATTTAAACCCGCTAAAAATCAATAATAAACAAACAATTCAATAGAAATATGGCCCAAAAAATCCTTGAATAAGCAAAAGACAATATATCCAAATGGCCAAAAATCCTATCAAAAGTTAGTTACTATCATTAGGCATCAGATAACTGCAAATAAAGTCACAATGTGATAGAACTACAGATCCATTACAAAAAATTAATACAATAGAGAGCTGGTTCTTTGAAATAATTAATAAAATTAACAAATACCTGGCTGGCCTGACTAAGGAAAAAAGAGAAAAGATCCGCATAAATAAAATTAGAAATGAAAAAGAAGTTAGCACACAGACTGTCAAGCCACCTCAGAAGGAAAGGGGAGGAGGGATCAACCAAAGGACTTACATGGATGCATATAAGCATAACCAATGGACACACACACTAGGTGGGTGAGAGCATGTGCTGGTGAGTGGAAGTGCCTGGGAGACGTCAATGGGGGGAAAAGGAGACATATGGAATACTTTAAACCAGCGGTTGCCAACCAGTGGTCCATGAGGTCCAAAAGTTTGGCACCCACTGCTAAACAATAAAGAATTAAAGAAAAGAAAAAATTGAGCACACAGCCGATCCATGATTCTCTTTTATTATGGATGTTTCTCTCTCTCTCTTCCTCTCCCTTCCTCTCTGAAATCAATAACAGTACTTTTTTAAAGAAATTAGTACATATGTTTAAGAAAAGGCGTGTACTAGAATGTTTTTGGCATCAGTATCATAATAACTGAAAACTAACCAAATACTAATAGTAAAATGGATAAAT